ACAGACTAAGAGTTTGTGACAGACTAAGAGTGTGTGACAGACTAAGTGTATGTGACAGACTAAGTGTATGTGACAGACTAAGTGTATGCGACAGAATAAATGTGAGATGTGTATGTGACACATTAAGTTTATGTGACAGACTAAGAGAGTGTGACATACTAAATGTATGTGTCAGATTAAGAGTGTGTGACAGACTAAGAGTGTGTGACAGACTTAGTGTATGTGACAGACTAAATGCATGTGACAGACTAAGTGTATGTGACACACTAAGTTTATTTGACAGACTAAGTGTATGTGACAGTACAAGTGTATGTGACAGACTAAGTTTATGTGACAGACTAAGTGTATGTGACACACTAAGTTTATGTGACAGACTAAGAGAGTGTGACATACTAAATGTATGTGTCAGACTAAGAGTGTGTGACAGACTAAGTATGTGTGACAGACTAAGTGTATGTGACAGACTAAGTGTATGTACCACACTAAGTGTATGTGACAGACTAAGTGTATGTGACAGACTAAGTGTATGTGCTAGACTAAGTGTATTCGACAGACTAAATGTATGTGACGGACTAAGTTTATGTGACAGACTAATGTATGCAACATACTAAGTGTATGAGACACACTTAATATATGCGACAGAATAAATGTGAGATGTGTATGTGACAAACTTTGTGTGAGTAACAGACTAAGTGTATGTGACAAAAGTTAGTGTGTGTGACAGACTAAGTGTGAGATAGTGTGTGATGGACTTTACAGTTACATTACAGTTTAGTGTATGTGACAGACTAAGAGTGTGTGACAGACTAAGTGTATGTGACAGACTAAGTGTATGTGACAGACTAAGTGTATGTGAAAGACTAAGTGTATGTGACAGACTAATTGTATGTGACAGACTAAGTGTATGTGACAGACTAAGTGTATGTGAAAGGCTAAGTGTATGTGACAGACTAATTGTATGTGACAGACTAGTAAAATATATTACCTGTAAATGATCGAGATCGGGTTATCTCAGTCGAGGGTTAAGATTCTGTAACAAAATCCCACCCGAGGCGTAAGCCGAGGTTGGGATGTTACATAATCTGAGCCCTAGACTGAGATAAACCGATCTTGCTCTGTTATAGGTTATTGATTTTTTTTCTCACACCTTTTATTTAGAAAAATAATAATTCAATTTTGCTAAAAACTACAAGTATCCCGCCTTGGGCCTCCAATGAAGATGACAGTTTCACTACTTAAGCTACATTTGAATGCTTATGCGTAAAAACGTAGTCCGTCCTTACATAGATTACAACGTATTTTCACAGTGTAGATTATATTTAATCTACAACATCAAATATCTAACAACATCAAAACTATACAATAACGACAAAACAGAACATTTATAATGCAAATTGTCAATTTCAAGCAGTTAACATGCGGATGAATACATTGTAGTGTAAAAACTCCGCGGAAATGTCACGTAAAGGTACAAACAGATCGAACGAGATAGACAAATCTAGCACGGGGTGTGACGTGGGATATCTCTGTCTGAGGTGCGAGAATAAGTGTACCCGACAGACTAAGAGTATATGAGAGACTAAGTGTATGTGACAGACTAAGTGTATGTGACAGACTAAGTGTCCGACAGACTAAGAGTATGTGACACACAAAGTGTGTGTGACAGACTAAGTTCGTCCGAAATAATATATATGACACATTTAGTGTTTGTGACAAATTGAGTGTATATGACAGACTTGGTGTGTGTGGCAGACTAAATGTATGTAACAGAGGAAGTGTACGGGACAGACTAAATGTATGTGACAGACGATGTGTACGTGACAGATTGATTGTGCGTGTATTTCCAAACACCAAATTAGGACACACGTTAACAGACTTACCGAACGTGAGCGACTAAGTTTGTGACAAACTGTGTGCGTATGACTAAGGCTGTGTGACAGAGCTTTGTAGCAAACTTAATGTGAGTGACAGACGATTGTGAGATGAGTAAAAGGAGGCAACTTATTTTTTTGATAAATCCGTCAACAGTGAAACAAATCACGATTTAAATTAGATTTGTACAGATACCGGAGTGTGATTTGTGCGGAAGCTGTATAAAAATGACATAGCATTATTAATTGATATATCATGTGTATTGTGTTTGGTAGTCTGACACTTGGAATTAAAAGCCGCGGTGCGTGAGTTAGATTAATAAATAATTAATTGTATAATAGCCAAGGCTTGGCGATAGATCCTAGCCTATTGTTATGTACGAGGTGTTACTTTACCGTCTGTAGACATTGATGATGTCACACTACAGGTGTACTTAAATGTGAATCAGAATTATTTCCAAACACCAAATTAGGACACACGTGTACTTTTGCAGTTACATGAAACTCACAAAGAGTCAAGCAAAGATAAAAATATCAATTTACAATAACAGGATTTTCATTTCTTATATCTAAGTCCACGTCCACGAAGGCCAACAAGTAAATAAATCTCAGACTGGACCCAGATCATGTTATGATGGTCCTCCCTGAGAAGAACTCGTGGCTTTTGTGACTAGGTAGAGTCAAGCAAAAACAGGGGAAGGAAAGGCGGCTTATAAAACATGTCAAGATAGTTTCTTTGTACTGCATCCTAGCCATGATAGCCGATTTCTTAAACTGGGCCCGATACATAGTGTCTTCTTCTTGGGAATAAATCCATGACAAAACAGGACTGTTTTGGTGGCCTGGATCAAAGACATGCCAGGATTATTCTGTGGATTTGACCAAACGTATCAGGATGGCTTCAATGGCTAGTATCGAACACGTGTCAGGACGATTATATAGACTTGATCCCAAAAATGACAAAATAGATGACTTCGGTTGACAGTATCTAAATGAGACATATGTCTTCTTTGGAATGGATCCTACGCGTGACAGGATTTAATGTATCAAAGACATGCCATAACTGGATCCAAAGTAACTCGTCCATGGACTGGATCATAGACATAGCAGAATGGCGTCTGTGGACTGGACAATAGACATGGCTGAATGGCTTCTGTGGACTGGACCATAGACATGGCAGACTGTCTTCTGCGAACAGGACCTTAGACATAGCAGAATGGCGTCTGTGGACTGGACAATAGACATGGCTTCTGCGAACAGGACCTTAGACATAGCAGAATGGCAGACTGTCTTCTGCGAACAGGACCTTAGACATAGCAGAATGGCGTCTGTGGACTGGACAATAGACATGGCAGAACTCCTCTGGTGACTGGACAATAGACATGGCAGACTGTCTTCTGGGGACTGGACAATATACATGTCTGAATGGCTTCTGTGGACTGGACCATAGACATGGCAGACTGTCTTCTGCGAACAGGACCTTAGACATAGCAGAATGGTGTCTGTGGACTGGACAATAGACATGGCAGACAGTCTTCTGGGGACTGGACAATATACATGGCTGAATGGCTTCCGTGGACTGGACAATAGACATGGCAGACTGTCTTCTGGGGCCTGGACAATATACATGGCTGAATGGCTTCCGTGGACTGGACAATAGACATGGCAGACTGTCTTCTGGGGACTGGACAATATACATGGCTGAATGGCTTCTGTGGACTGGACAATAGACATGGCAGACTGTCTTCTGGGGACTGGACAATATACATGGCTGAATGGCTTCTGTGGACAGGACCTTAGACATGGTAGAATGGCGTCTGTGGACTGGACCATAGACATGGCATAATATCGTGTGGGGACTGGAACATAGACATTGCAGAACGTCTTCTGGGGACTGGACAATAGACATGACAGAACGTCTTCTGGGGTCTGGACCATAGACATCGCAAAATGTCTTCTGGGGTCAGGACCATAGACATGGCGAAATGTCTTCTGTGGACGTGAACATGGACATGGCAGAATGGCGTCTGGGGACTGGTCCATATACATGACAGATTTGCTTCTCGGGAATTGACCACAGACATGGCAGAATGTCTTCTGTGGACTTGACCATAGACAAGGCAGAACGTCTTCTGTGGACTGGTCCATAGACATGACAGATTTGCTTCTCGGGACAGGACCATATACATAGCAGAATAGCGTCTGTAGACTGGATTATAGACAAGACAGAATAGCGTCTGTAGACTGGAACATAGACATGGCAGAATGGCCTCTGGGGACTGGACCATAGACATGGCATAATGTCTTCTGTAGACTTGACAAGCTGCTCAAGGAATGGAGAAGCGAATTTGATAATGGACGAGAGATATGGGAAAAAATTCTTCTGTATTCGCTACCCAGGACATCTAATAGAAGTGGGTTTTTTTAATCAGCTATTTCGATCTACGACATAGCAGTATAACATTTCCATCAATTACCCGCGCATATTTTTTTGCGTTTTCGTTGCCAACAAAATATATCGAAACTGCTGGTGAACTATACCATTGTAAATGCCTTTATTTTCTCACTAATTCGACATATTAAGTAAATTAAAACAATTGAGCTCCCAATCATCGAACTGACATAAATCATCATCATCAAATTGAGAATTAAGTAGACAAAACACTTAGTATGGCAATGTTTTGCAATTTGCTTGATTTTGTGACAGCAATGTACTTATTTTATGTTGCACTGTTCTTGAAATAGTGTGACTGTCACATAACATCTGTAGTTCGTGGTATTCTAATATCAAAAGGAAAGTATATAACGAGATTAAATGATTTAATTTGAAATGTGCATGCACAATCAAGGAAACTTCTCGCAAAGGCCGATGATTTCCTGTATACTACCTAGTCTCGTCCAACCAGACTCTTGTTGTCTGCCGAACAGAGAATTGAATTACTAACTGATCAAGCGTCTGGTTGAACGAGACTAGTATACAACCACATCGGCAATGTAACGATGTGTTTCATTGGTAAATCATAACGGATCATTCGACTACAAACCATGCATGTGGTCCAATAAACAAACACGTACATCCTTGTCCCAACCCCCACCCTCCCTCCATTCAATATTTATATCAAACCAGTTTAATTAGCTGGGAAATATGTTTGAATATTATTGTGGAAAATATATCTCAGTATACGAAAATGTTGCGAAAAATATAGTTCTGGCCTGTAAGCCTTCGTTAAGCATAGTTCAACATATGTTTCATCCTTGTTGTATCTTCCTCCATGATATAAAGGCACAGGTTATTTCTTGATTACGTCACAGAAGGAGGAACGTTGAAGATATGTGCTTGTAAATTCCACAAAGTCTTATATAGGCTAAAATCATATTGATATAAGTTACATACACACTCTTACTTATCAAATCCCGAAGTTCACAACACCATACCAACCATTCAGGCCTATACGCAGAACGTCATATTCATAGTTCATCTATAACTGTCGCATTTATTTTCGACATGATTATACTGTCTATAGTTCTCAGCCGTGGCCGAATGCTTTACAAAAATAACCTGATAGCACACATTATAGGGTTACTATATTCACGACAGTGGTCTTATTTCCTTGTGTCAAGTACGTTAATCTTTCTCACAGCACTGAGGACAGATTGTCCATGTTTTCCTTACTGTACTTGATTTCAGTGGTTCATGTACAGATACAGCATTCACTGAATACAGCCACGGGTCAACTGTTTTGTTGATATTTGATATAAACACGAAATTGAGTAGTTTTCAGTACCGAATACTTCACATGTGTATGGTGACAGGAAAGTAAGTCCCGAAAGTCCAGAAACCGCTTCGGAATACCTCCTCCACGTGTGCAGCAAGAATTGTTCTGAAAACCGCGTCGACACGTGGTTATAACAAACATTAACTTAGGTATCTAAGGACCTTCAATTTCCCATTAGAGAATCCCACCCACAGGTCGCCATTAGGCTGTGTTCCGCAGCTGGTCGGCATGTTGCCGTCGCGCCAGAGACTCTTCGTCGCCCGGCCTCGTCTGTCTACTAACATGACCGACTTGCTGCCAATGTCACAGACAATTACATTGTTATTTCTGTCAAAACACACTGCTGTCGGGATGAACCGTGTCCGACCTTGACCTTCACCATCTTCAACATGATTCTCACGTTCGTCGAGTGTAAGATCTCCATGGAAACGGAATAGAATATTGTTCCTTTTGTCCATGATGAGGACATGACGAGGGAGCGAGTCTTCAATGACCACCATGTCCCCCGTACGTCTGTTAACGCGGACCCGGATTGGCATTGAGAAGAGTTTCCGGCCCGAGGGATCCGTATTTATCGTTTGCGAGATCTCGCCATCCCGAGAATATTTCACAACCTTGCCATCATCCTGGGTGAACCATATATTGCCACCCTCTGCAGACTCGCATAGACTCGTGACCGGGTATTTGGTGCGGTACATCGTGTTGGTTTTCCCTGTCTGAAGGATGTTCCGAATGGTTCCGTCGGAACACAAAAGCACAGTCTTCGTCGAGTCCGCTTTCACCATGAGGTCGAGGATATTGAGATAGGACTCCACCACTGTCGTATGCTTTGTATCTCCAGACTGCAGCATGAGGTCGGCCTCACAACCACCGCCCTTCACAATCCACGCCTTCCCGTCCAGGGTAGGGGCGACAGTCGAGATCCGCCCCTGTGTCACGTGACGAAAGGACGCAATGGCCTTCACCGATGTTGCCTTCAGTTTGCTTTTTCCAGTGATGCTACTTGAGGTATCCGAAATGAGATCGTCATCATTCGGGTCGAAGATTTCGAGGCGCCAATCTTTTATATTCATGGAACCAAACAGGATTAACTGCTGAGCTGCAGGATCCTCTTCCGCGATGAGGCTGGGTAATTGTAACACAGGAAAAGGTTTGAAGGGCCGTGAATTTTCAATACGAAGGCTTTTCTCCAAAGAACCCATATCTGCGTTCTTATCATTTGCCAACGCATTTTTACATTTGTTGACTATAGCAGTAATATCAGTTAGCTGTGAAAGCAACTTCTTCTCAATCGCTTCGAGTATCTCCATATTCTTCTCACCAACCTCCTTGGAGCGTTGAGTAAAATCTTTTATGATTTTATCAATTTCAGCTTTCAGCTCGGTTCCTCTACTCTCCACGGTTTGAATGGTGTGTTCTAAAATTTTCTTATTGTCCGCTCGGTATTGCTGAACCTTTTCCACTCGCTCGTCAACAGTTTTAATCTTTGCTTCAGAATCTACCAGAAGACCAGATAGCGACACTTTCTTGACATTGAGATAATCGTCTGTCTCCACAAGGCGGTGACCAGTGTGGGCGGCGGCGATACATAACAGACACACAAACTGCTCACCGCACGTGTTGCATACGCTCACTATCTTCTTCCGGGGATGCTGGGGGCAGATCCGGATAGGATTCCCGTACGCCTTGTTCCTTCTGACAACAGACGACGCCATTTTGTTGTCGATCAGTTATGTTCAGAAAGAAGTTTCATCTGAAAAGATAAGTTACCTACTTTAGATTTATAATAGGTGCATCAACCCCGGTAGTAAATCTGTATGTGTGAAATTGCTCAACATAAAAAAAATGTCTAAATTTATGATATCTAAGATGAAGTCTTTGAACACGTTATCCTACGTTAAAGATAATTTGAGGCTGAAAATCTGGTCGAAACTAACGGAAGTACATTTGTATCAAAGTAGTGGAACTGGACCGGGTCGATCGTCGCCGACCAGGTAGCTCAATTGGTTGAGCATCCGTCTAGAGTTCGGAGGGTCCCGGGTTCGAATCCCGGTCTGACTGTGCTATTCCATAAACCTTAATTTTGCTTATAACACTGCACCTGATCAAGCGTTAAAATCGATAAAAATCAGTTCTATTTCCTTAAATTGCTGAAAATGCTTAAGATTAAGCGTTGCTTATACATGAAAGTTTGCTGATGGGCTTTCAGATAGAAGTTTTTTGCGGTATATCCTCCACTTAACTAATAAGGGATCAGTCAGTGAAATGTTTTGTTCAACAAACAGCATTACAGGGCTCAAAGTGATACAGATTGGACATTTAAATAGTACATAGGTATATCTCGAATATTCACAAGATTTAGAAGGTATTGAAGACTGTCAATTGAAATACCACCCCAGAGATAGAAGTCACATACACAAGACACGATGATGTGAACGTCGATGCTTTCTGACAGCAAACATTAATTAGGATCCTACATTTTCTAAGCATGTTGTATGTGTTAACACAAGTTATACCGTAGTATGTGTTGTGTTTATTAGTGACGGTGTGTTGTGTCTCTTACTAAGGTATTGTATGTTTATATTTGGTGTGGCCAGAGTCTTAATTATGTTTTGTATTATTCTGTGGTTGTGCAGCAGATTATTCCATAACATTGTACAAATCACTTTATGACAATGTTTCTGCAAAACAAATGATACACTGTATGTAGATGTTGATTAGGCAGTATCGCCTATTTAAACACATAAACCACATAAATCACAAGTTCAGAGGGACATTGGTGTCCGGTATTTAAATCACGAGATTGCCTTATCGAATTACTTCCTTGGTAGGGGTCGATGAAAGAAAATCGTCAAAGTCATATCATATTACAGACAGAAACAGTTATCAACAGACCGATCACGTGATTGTGTACCTTTTTTGTTGGAGTTCTCTCTTGGTCGTCACGATGGATATGTTGCAACCTTGTCTTCATTTTGTTATTTTACTGCAGGAAAAATCAAATCGCTGAAGATCCGCCATTTTGTGTCATTTGGTAGCCATTAGCCTCGTTGTCGAACCTGCAGGACAATGAGTACCCAACAACGACAAGACAAATAATGCTTAATTAAATACGGTAGATATTATTCGATACGGTGTCTGTTTGTTTGACATGTCTTGAATAGAAGGCGATTTACACCGAGTACGTAGACCGAGTAGGACAAGACATTATTGTCTTCACGCAAGGGAAATAGTTTAGTTGGAGTTCAGAGGTCCATTGCACAAAAGGGTTCAAATACTGTCCCGACTGGATGGAAGGCTTCTTAAAAGCTAAATTTTGAAGAAACAATCTAACGTAATGCAGATCTCCAAATATATTCGAGTAATGTACTGCTACTCTTTTATTTAACAACTGGCGCCATTTTTTTTATTTTTTTTTAAATTACGTGACCTAAAAGTGATTTTTATTTGTAAAACAATAAACATGTATTGCCCTTGTTGTAGGGAGACAAGATTCTATGTTTCCCTTAGATTAATCATGTTTTACGAGGCCGAAGCCCGAATAAAACATGATAAATCGAATCGTGCTTGCCTACCACTAGAAAGAAGAAGTGTATCGAAATACAAGTATAACACAACTGTAAAGATGATTGCCTCAGTCATATTTATTTTTGCTATCGAGAATCCGAATAAGGGAAAGGTGACTGAGGAAAGTTAAACGCCAGCGGGAAACATGATTATTTATTTCCCAACCATGTTATCAACATAATACAATCAGACACGCTGGAATAGAGTTTTAATGTAGGCATATTAATATGAACATTTGACAACATTTTTTTCAAACTTTACCGTAGCCACAAATCTGTGACGTGTTATCACTCCAGGACAGTCGAGGGGTTAATTATAACTAACTGATTGCCGAGTAACATACCTGACAGGTAGGGTGCATTGACTAGGTGTGTCACGTTATAAAACAAAGCGTTCGGCCATGTATGTACTAACGGGTGTAGGAATGGGTCTGACGGAGCGAACAACACATTAGTACCGACACAATACATATACAATCCACGATATCATCAATCTATTTAATATATACACATTATTCGGTTGACAAATATTGTAATACCAGTTCCTTGTGATTAAAGCATAAGTGACGACACTCGGGTTTTTTTGTCTAACTCCGCAGCGGAAACTTCTGGTTACAGTCGGGATTCCTCTACGGAACACTAACTTTTCGCAGCGGAAACTGCGATAACTCCATTTACACTGAAAGGTTTTCGATAAATTGCGTTGCAGAATATGCTTTAAACAAGATGGGAATAATTCAATGTGGAATCTTTACGAAATTATTACGGAAATGTATATCTCTGTTGGCTTAAGGAATAATATTTCATCATTGAATCAGGAAAAACCCCATTTGCCTTTTATCTTAGGCATCCGTCCTGATATCGTAGATGTCTTTTTATGTGTATTTTATCATTACCGATCTCTAGATCGCACAAAAGGTCTTTTGTCTCCAATAAGTATTACACATGGCTAGACATCATTTAGATTCACGCCCATGGACAATAACGGCTTATCAAAATAGAGTGTCAAACTAGATAATATATAAACAGACAGCCAGACCGAGACCGACACTTCGGCAAAACGCTAAAAGAAAGCATTTGAAGAAGAAAAGATTTAAAAAAAACCGCAATTGCATGCATAGAATTGAGTTGAGGTATACGTCTTAGCACCCAGGCTGTTTTAGTGTACAAATTACAATTGACTTTGTACCGGAAAATACTTACATATTAAACTATACATATATATATATAGCAATATAAGTACATATAGTATTTGTCATGTATGAATCGGCAGAGTTTGATGGAGAGGGGGAAAGTAGGGGGACGTATATAAAACGTATACATTATAGTATCCTCAGAACCCCTCTCTGAGTAGATTACATAGAATCAGTGCTTTATTATGCTGATTAGTGCTGATTAGATTGATAAGGAACACGTACTAATTGATTCCAAAGAACAAAACACGTCTATTTCTTCATAATGAACCTAGTTCATTAGTATTAGTTTTCAACAATACCAGTCGCCATAAATATCATGTATACCGATGTTTCGTGTGATAATAGATTAAGTTGGTATTAGTAGCATTTTGATTTTTGATTACAGTACACATTAAATACTGAAACAGGTATTGCGGTAATCGGCGCACGCTTTTCGCTAACATGCATAGGTAAAAATCGGGATTTTAAAAAAAGGATGAAGTTAGACTGAACTTCTGGTTCTGGAAATGCGGAGATGAAACGTTATTCATTGCACTATGCTTTAGACTAGAGTTCGCTTTATTTATGAAGGCGCTGAAAATGTTTTTCAAATAGTTCCTATCCGAAGACTAACCAATTTGTATATCTTTGGGGAAAATCCGTTAAAAAATATTTCCTCAAAATTGTCATACGACAGAAAGTTTTTAAGTTATATCAGAAAAGTTTGACTTTAACAAAACTTGTCGAGAGAAATATTTCTAGGTATAAAACATATTTTAGTCCTGTTCCGCGGATTTGTTATCTAGTGGCTAGTAGTACATCGGGCTGTCGTACAGATGCAGTGCACGTCTATTTGAATCAAATTTATCAATTTTGTCCAAACAAAACCAAAATCAACTCATCTACATTTGTTTTGAGTACATTTAACACAAAAAAGTTATCAATATAGAGAAATACTACAGAATGTCTCTTGTACATTTAGTCGTATTATTTCTCACTTGTGACAACACGCTTACGTATATCATCACAGCTACATTGCTCCACGAAAAAGAGTTCGTTAATTAGTACTTTTTTCATGTTTAATTATCAAAATAAACCTTATAGTCATACGTAAAATTATTTTGATCTGAACATCTCAGGGGCTTTCTATTTTAAATAATTTTAATCAGCATATTCATGCATTTTTGTTACCGTACACACATTACATCAATACAACTCATGTGTCGCACGTACATCAATTTAGACTATATGTATGTGTACACACGTGCCTGCCATTGTGTTACATGTCGCTCTGGCCAGAAGGATTATGATATAGAGATACGACCAGACGACACAAGATCTACTATACACGAAACGTATATATATCGAACTGGTGTACAACTTAAACGTCTTGTAGGTAGATCAGAACACATAGTTCTGTCCCCTTTTGGCTAATTTTACCAATACCTCTTGGTGGTCTCGAAAATCAGGGGTTACTCTCTAACGTCGTCTTCACTAAGTGAGCGTTACACGTGGAGTTTCGCGGATGCACTCGATGATATAAAGACCAGTATTCGTCATTCGATCAAACATGAAATATGTTCATCACTTGGAGAAATATAAAAGATGTTCATCTGACAAAACAACGGGTTATTCCCTATACATGCCATCAATGCTATTGGTGTGATAGTATCTGTCGATTTTGCCATAACAATATAGATATTGAGGAATAAACGTCGTTTAATTTCAAGATGGTGACGTAGCAGATTAGGGATTGGTTTGGTTTGGTTAATTTTGTTTAACTATTCTAGGTGTCCGTCTCCGCGCTCCGCGCTCGGTCTACCTCAAAATGAGAAAGGTCTATTAACAGTTAAGGACATTTAAGGACGTGCATCCATGTTTGTAGTGTATGCGTGCTTGCTTGTGTGTATGCAGGAGACAGGGTATATTGGTGTGCTTGCCTCCTTGTGATAGCGCGAATCTGATGCCGACTTTATAGTGCTATCTCACTGACATGCCATGCCGAAGGCACCAAGCATAGCATTCCATCCGGTCACATTATACTGACAACGGGTGAACAAGTTGTTGGCATTCCCCTAAATGCTGAACGTTAAGCAGGGTATACCAACTACCATTTTTAAGGACTTTGGTATGTCCCGGCCTAAGGACAGAACTCATTGCTTCCTCACCAGGGCGAACGCTCAACATGAAAGCCAAAAGTGAGGTATTGCCAAGCAAGGCGCTAGGAAATAAAAGGTAGTTAGAAGTAGAAAGAAAGATAATGATCCCGAATATTGCAATGGGCGCAGCAGATTTATTTTGGTCGCTTTTGTGTCCACCAAAGCAAATCCCCAATTCTGCAGGGGGTTCCCGCTTAAGGCCCGGTCACAACCCACCCTGCGTGTTTTTAGTCCGTACGTTTTTTTGGGAGGCCACGGGAGGGAGTGGCAAGAGCAGGGAAAGAGTACGTCAACGCACGTCACTCGCACGGTTGCGCAAGGTGTAAGTACGTGACCCGCACGCCACGCCTGGTCGTGAGCGATTGCGTGCATCGTACGTTGCACACGTGGTAAGTGAGTTGTACGTGTTTACAACTTGCTTACAACGTAAGATTTCCGCGCGATTGCCACGTTATTTTACGGAGGCCGTACTTACACGTGTTGCTCACGTACGGTGTCCTTACTCACTCGCATGTTGTAAGTGCGTGAAAGTGCGATGAACGTGAGTTTATCCGCCCAATGTCTGATGAAATGTATAGAACGCTCCTCCTCGCCTCTTCCCCTTCCGCTCTGGCCATCTCATCTTCCGCGGCCCGTTTCTGTTGGGCCTCTCTGGAGGTATCCGCTGCCTTTTGAGCTGCAGATGCAGCTGACCCCTTCTTCTGTGTCCTCTTATTAGGCATCTTGGAGACGAAATGTTGGCACTCGTCCGTTGGCTCGGCTTTAATATATACTCCAGAAATCAGTGCGCACAACGTGCGTTGTAAGTGCGGAGCACGTGCTTACTCCGTACGGTCCACGTCCGTTCTGCGTGCTCATTGGACAGTAGAACTGGGGAAGTGCCGGGTAAGCACAGGCCACGCACTTATCACGTGCGCAGCACGCACGTGCTAAGTGCGACGTCCGTAGAGCAAGTGACCGTGGGAAAAAATTAAAAGACTCACGGAGTCAGTGCGTTGTGCGCTCATTGGCTGTAGAAGGCACGCGCGTCACCCGCACTGGGGTGAATCCGTAGCCCGACCACATCCCGAACGCAGCGAAAGTTCCTCATGCACTAAAAGTGCTACGGCGTGTCTGCGTGCTCCCAAATCCGTACTGAGGCGGTACTCACCACGTACGGATCCCCCAATTTTGCCCACGTTTTTGCAAGTAGACAGCACGCACTTGCAAGTACGGCGGGTTGGGACCAAGGCTTTAGTCGCCTCCTACGATACATGCAGTGGGTAACAGCTGGTGTNTTTAGGAGATATGTACTAGGTGCAATTTAGGAGGAATGTACTAGGTGCAATTTAGGAGATATGTACTAGGAGAAATTAGGAGAAATATACTAGGTGCAATTTAGGAGAAATATATTTCGAACAAAAATACTATGTGCAGCTAAATAGTTTAGTAAGAGAATCTTTAACAACAGAAATGAGGTAGCTTCTGTCTGAAGCATACATTAAAGAGATACAACTATTTTGTTCAGATAATCACATTGTCAATTAGTCAAAGGGAGACAACTCATCTCAACATTGTATAGGTAACCTCTCAGCCTGCTGTGGGGTGTACTTTTATATTGTTTACTTGTAACTTTAATGTCTACAAATAAATTTCCACTTTAACTTGATTACTTTGTTGAGTCATACTTGAATAGTTTGCCACAAGCCAACAACCAGACGGATATGTTTATAAATTATACAATGCATCATCAGGAAAGATACTCGGCCAGACGGCAGACTGCTTAGAGTCTTGAGTACCTGACGATCGGGCATTGCAATACCAACTACCATTTTTAAGGACTTTGGTATGTCCCGGCCTAGGGACAGAACCCATTGCCTTCCTCACCAGGGCGAACGCTTAACATGTAAGCCAAAAGTGAGGTGTTGCCAAGCAAGGCGCTTGGAAATAAAAGGTAGTTAAAAGTAGAAAGAAAGATAAAGATCCCGAATATTGCAATGAGTGCAGCAGATTTATTTTGGTCACTTTTGTGTCCACCAAAGCAAATCCCCAATCCTGCAGGGGGTTCCCGCTTAGTCGCCTCCTACGGTACATGTGGTGGGTAACAGCTGGTGTTTTTTTCCCGATCCCCCACCTGTAGGGGTGGGAAGATTAGGGATCAGAGTATCCTAGGTCTGTTAATGTTACGGTCACAACTTCGTTATCAAGGTAACATTGACAAGTATTAGGTCAATTACGGTCACGTTTTATGGGTTAATCAACTTGGTGAGACTTTACACTTTTATGAACTTTTCATGTTCTCAGTTCATGTCGTTAAATGCACTCAATATCTGTTTTAGTAGAAATGAAAACAAATACAGTTTAATATGAAAGATTTTATAGGGCATTAATCTCAAATATAAATGACAAAACGCCAATTGAGTACACTTCCTGCATTGTATACATCACAAAACCAATTGCAAGCGAAACTTAAATTAACCCACACGAGTTATCTTTCTTTAAACCTTTTATAATATAGGTAGTAACGATTGTAACTTTTATAGTATGAGCATACAAAAATTATATGGCGTTTTGAAATCCTGACAATACTGAGGCACAATACAGCTTTGATGCTTGGTTTAAAGGTCAATGTTCAATGTATCTGAGAACCTTGACCTGTCCGTCAAGAAAGCCCACCCACAGGTCCCCATTGGGTTGCAGTCCTACACACGTGGGTGGCATCTCGTCTCTCCAGACCGTCCGCACGAGTCGTCCGTCCCTGTCTATCACGATCACTGAGCCGTGACCATAATCGGCGATAATGATGTCATTGTTCCGGTCAAAGCAGATATCACGCGGTAGAAAATTTTGTTCCTCTTGCAATTTCTCGCTCTTTCCAGAATTCGGAATTCCCTGGAATCTGCATAGTTCGTCCATTTTGCTATCCATCACAGCAACATGTCTCGGCGTGGTTTCTTCGATGACAGCCATGTCTCCGTTTTTCCGGTTCACTCTGACCCTCCTTGGCCAGGAGAAGAGCTTCCAGCCATCCAGATCCTCCGTGATGACCTTGATGACGTCACCATGACCGTTGTAATGGATCATTTTGCCTTTATCGTCGTGACAAACGATGATGCCACCATCTTTCGCCTCACAGAGACTGCTGGCGTAATCTTCCGTTCGGAACAGCACTTTGTACTTTCCGTCCGGAAGGATACTTCTTACGGATGATTGGGCACAACAGAAAACGTTGCTTCGATCTGCTGAGCAGACGATATCGTTTAGCTTCACGCCAGGCTTCACACGCATGTGTACAGTAATGTTGCCTTTGTTTGTGGTGAGTGTAGCTTCGCTACTGCCGGTACAAATCAACCAGGCGGAAGTATTGTCGATAGGGCAGACCGACAGGACCTGCTTCTGAGACTCCATCTGGAAACTCCCGAGTAGCTTAACTTTGTACGGCTCAGCGTCGTTTGTAGCATCTGAACCCCATTCGTCCTTTCCCGGACCTTCTTGGTCTGGTTTCCAGATTGGAGTGTCCATATACCCGAACTGTGTCATCATCCGGGTCATTTTGTCCGACATTATAATTCCCATACTTTGCAAGTTTGGAAAAAGGTCATATGGTCGACTATTTTGTTGTTTAAGATTTTTCTCCGTGTGTAAAAGATTTTGATACTTCTCTTGATCTAACACCTCTTTACACTTATCGGCTGCCTCGGACAAATCATCAAAATGGCGCTGCATCCGGTCTTCGACATGACCAAGCAAATCATCGTTTTTCTGTCCGATATTACGACATTGTTTCGTATAATCTTCACAGATTTGATCAATTTGCTTCTTCATCTCGTCTGCTCGACTCTTTATATAATCACCTAATTCGGTCATGTTCTGTTTACTTTCCTTCTTGGTGTCTCTTGCTTTTTCTAATCGTTGCTTCAGCGTTGTGAGTTTGGTGTCAGCAACCTGCTTCAGTCTTGAAAAGAGGTGCCGCTTAAGGTCTAAGTACTCTTCAATCTCCACAAACATGTGACTGGTGTGGGACGTGTTGATGCACGTGAGACAGACGAACGCGTCCCGACATGTGGTACAGACCATCACCAGCCATTTCCCCGGGTGATTAGGACACGGTCGTTCCTGAAACACTCCATGAGAGGGGATAGGTGCGGCGACATGTCGGAACTGTATTCCGTCCGAAGTAGGACGTCCGGCGGAACTAGGAACCTCAGACATCCCGGTTGATCTGCTCGGATCTTTACTGAAGAAATAATGGAAAAAAAAGAAAATGAGGTAAAAACTGAAGCTGATGTCTACCATGCTTTTGAAGACACTACGAATAGTTTAACTAACATCATTGTGTAAGTAAATTCCCCCCGTTCATACTTTCATTAATACTGGAAAAAACAAAAATCAATCCCATTATTTATCGACGAAAAGCCAATTTGACCAGATCTCAATATTTTCTAAAAGGCTTCTTTACACCACTCAATCCGTCCCCCAACATATAATCAACTCTCCGTAGTCTCCACTCACAATCCCGATATCAAATCCTCATCCAGTTCTCTGTCCCAGCTAAACTCAATTCTCTGTGGTCTCCTTTGTCCCTCTCAACTCTGACCCAACTTAAACTCAACTATCTGTGATCTCTAGCCCAACCACAACCCTAGTCCAACACTTCCTGGTAAACCCTGAACTTTCACTCAACCCAAAAAGCTATAAAAAAAACCCGTCATCAAATAAGACAAACTCAAGTCAAACCAAAAAATCCGTACTATCCTTGGTCTATACCATGCACTCCTACAAATCCAGTTATCTGGGGTTTCGATCCTAACTCAAACAAATGTCTCCGTAGTCCTCTTACTCCACCAAACACCTACTGCACCCATGTACAACTTTTTCACCACGATCCTAACCAAAATTCAACCCGCAATGGTTTCGTCCATGATTCCCAACCGAATTCAACCCTATATGACTTCCCCCACCATCCCCATCCGAATTCAACCCTCCATGGTTTAGTCCATGATTCCAACTTATTCAACCAATCTTGGTTTCGTCGACGATCCCCACCCAAAATCAACCTTTCATATATAGTTTCGTCCACGATTCCAACCCTAATTCAACCCGCCATGGCTTAGTCCACGATTCCTTCTCAAATTCAACCCTGCTAGGTTTCCACCACAACCCAAACCCATATCCAACCCACCTACATTAGCCCCGTTAAAAATCCTGTTTCTGCCCGCGATGGTGTCTATACTATAGGGATTATAGCTACTTAACTCACTCTAACCTGTTCATTGTTCAATGTACAAAGATATGTTACATTGGGCTTAAAATCTCGGGTAAATTTCAATACAAAAGTCACACTTCTTTGTCACTGTAAACTCGGCTTAAATAACATTTATTTTATGATTCGTTTTCCCTTCTTTCTCTCTATATCTAACTCTCCATCTGTTATTTTTAATGAGAGATGCAGTGTTGTGACGTAATATGACATGTTTTAAAACCTGCTAGATGTATTAAGTTTTATAATTACCATTATTGAAATAGACGGTATACTGAAGTAAGTATAGTATCTTATGTTCCGAGTTTGGAAGCATCCCGTGACCTATATATCAAGAGAACGCTTACATTGCTGTTTTGAAGCATTATGGTTTTCTGCGAAGATGAATTACAGGGATTTGAAATAGGACATTTTTTTTTTTTTTTTTTTTTAATTATTTTGAACGATAGAGTATTTTCCATTAGGTCACCATTGATAAAATAAATATACAACATTTGATATAGCGCCCTATCTAGCTATCATAAGCAACTCTAAAACGCTTTACAGTACATAGATATACAATTGTATACAGGCAATACAATTAGCATATATATATTAATCAATACGATATTGAGGAATTCGCAGGAGCTGTCTTATCAGGCGCTAACTACTAGTCCAATGCCACCTGGCTAATATCTGCCTATGTGTGTACGCCTGTGTGTGTGCTGGAGATGTATTGTGTTCTGTTTGTAGTGGGATCGTGCTTCCAACGGTATCATGTCTAGTGCCACCTCACTTGAATGCTACAGCACAGATACCACAACACCCACGTAATGACACGGGCGTTGTTATAATCAATTTATTTCTATATAAGTGAAGTGACAATGTCACTACCTCTTATTCAAGGATAATTTAATTTCATCGTGTAATCAAGTTTTTTATGTAATGTCTATCATTCAATTCGAGGAAAATAGGTATTAACATAAATCAAATAGCTTAAATTCCAGATAAAACTAACTCAATGGCTTATAACTACACATGCAATTTAGCATGGCGCTGACATAAGTGGAAACTGCTTACTTATTTTCTTCTTTGTCAAAAGCAGATCTATGTCATTTTGGTAGTGTGTTCTTCAATAGCGTGCTACGGTCAACATTTAAAATGTCGGCTTTAATACTGTTGTTTGAAATATATTTTCTTTTTAATTATGCAGGTCATAAAATACAATCAAATGCAATTCTGACAACAGTTCAAACGTACATGTTTAGTTATGTAGGAGTTGTCACTCACCTTAGTCAATAACACAAATCTTCATCCACATTGTCTGACAGGGTTGAAACGTCATAGCCAAAACCCGTACATATCAGTGTAATACTCGCGCGTAATGTAGGCTGTGCGCTAAATGTTCACCAGTATTGAAATGAAATAATTAATCCTGATTAATATTGTAATAATGATACAAATATTTTAATCCGTATATACATTTTCAGAAACAGGTATGTACTTACGAGGTAGGGCTCACAGGGAGTTGGCGTTTACATATACTACATGTATGTAGGTACTTATGGACCGAGTATTTCAGACATTAGACCCAAATCAAAGGTGTTTGATCACTGTGTTCGAGATAATATATTTATTCGATATACAATGACACACTCAAAATATTTTAAGAATAATTTCATAGGTTTTAATTATTTCGTTGTTCTTTTCATTAGTTCCGGTAATGTGTGTTAAATATAGGTTCATTATCTACGATTAAATAAACAGCCAAAATAACCACCGAACTTTTTTTTTAAATTGTTAAAAGGGAACCGATTTGATGATGGGAGAGAAGTTTGTTCAAATCCTTAGATGTGTCTTGCAATCAACCTATTTAGTTTTACTGGGAATCAACAGAGTGGTCATCCCTTTAATGACTAATATATATATAATCTGCGGCTACCGCGAGGATATGACCAGTGTGATGGGTAAACAAAAAGGGAAAAAAAGGAAAACTGAGTCTGTCAGTGACATTGATACGTCCGGTAATCTGTCCGTCAGTACGGCAATAGGGGAAGCCAATGGAACTCTATATGGTACAGATACGGTAACATCTACCCCTATGGCTACATATCCCAGTCAAGGACACACCCAATTCCAAAGTGACATGTATAAAAAATTTGAAATTATCATGAAAAAACTGGAAAGGCTTGAGATGATCGAAAGGAAGATAGACAGAATGGAATCGAGAATGACGGCCAGCGAAAAGAAACCTAGTGAACTCGAAAGATCGGTGAAATTTGTCTCGGAGAAAATAGATGATTTCGAGAAAAGAAATGTGGATACTCAGAATTCAGTGCGTACTGTGTCTAGAGAGCAGGTGAGACAAACAGGTGTTATCAACGAGTGCAAGAGTGCGATTGCTAAGTTAAACTGTAACCTGGGCAGCATTACAAAGGAAAATAAAGGACTGAAAGATAGCTTAACTGATCTAAAGTGCAGATCAATGAAAAACAATTTGGTTTTTAGTGGTCTTGCCGAAAATCCAGAGGAAAATCCAGAAGCTTTATTGAGAGAATTTATTGCGGTGGAACTTGGTATAGAACAGTACATAGAATTTGGAAATGTCCATCGTTTTGGTAGAATCGTTGGTGGGAAGAGTAGACCTATCGTAGCACGCTTCATATACAACAAGGAGCGTGAAGGGGTATTGCGATGTGCGCGTAGGCTGAAGGGTTCAACTTTTTACATAAATGAACAATTTCCTACGGAAATCCAGCAGCGTCGCAGGGAACTTGGTCCAACAGTCAGAGACCTGCGGGGCAAAGGCAAAAATGTGCGGTTAGTGCGGGACAAGCTTATTGTGGATGGGAGGCTGTATGATGGTCCGATTATCAAACAAAGCTCGGTGAAGGAGCGACGATCGCCAACCTCTGTTGACACCAATTCAGGCAATAGTGTTCCTTCGTACAGTGCTGTGACTCGGGTAAACACGTCCGCTACATCACCTAACGGTGCGCGCGGCCACAACTCGCGCACCGGAAACCCTCATTCAACGGCGAGTTCCCGCCATGATGGTCACTAGGACAGACAGGACAGTGATGTATCCTTAAAAGTAGGCTCTATTAAGATAAGTTCATGGAACGTGAATCGAGGCCTTCAAAATAAACTAACTGATCAAGGTTTTGTAGATATTTTGTCGAGCTCCGATATAATATTTTTATCGGAATGCTGGATAGATAAAAATAGCGATTTAGACTTCAGTAATTTTCAGGATGAGTTTAGCTTTTTTACATTCCCCCGTGAAAGGGGCAAAGGTGGAGGCCTTGTGCTGTTATATAGAGATGGTATCAATGCATCTATTGTTTCTTATGTAGCAGATACGCTTATGTGGGTTAAAATTAAGCAGTCTGTACACCCAGATATATCTATTTGTTTTTCGTACATTCCGCATGATAACAATGTTTACTATACCTTGTATGAAACTGATATTTTTGATACCATAGTTAATGGCATCTCTCATTATTCACAACTGGGTACCGTCATCGTTGCTGGCGACCTTAATAGTAGAATAGGTAATGCGTTCGATTACATCGAGTCTGATAATGCACGTGCTCCAGCTATTCATTTTCTATCTGGTGTACTTGACTATGATGTCGATACTGTCATGCCTATCCGAGTATCTGCCGATCACACTGTGAATACGTTCGGCCGCAAACTTTTACAATTATGTAGAAGTACTGGGCTGCGAGTTTGTAATGGTAGAAAACCTAGTGATATCACTGGTAAACTCACTTTTTTTAATCATTTGGGTTCAAGTGTAATTGACTATGTTCTTATAGATAAAAATTCGTTTGATTTGATCACCGAGTTTAAGGTGCGCGATTTTAATGAATGGTCTGATCATGCACCCATCGATTTCAATTTACGTGTAACAACCAGTTGTATGATTGATGATCCCACTAAAAATGTTATTATTGATAGTAGTGAGAATAGTTTTATCAAGTCTTGTGTGTACAGATGGAATGCTGACGAAGAACAACAGATGAGTATTAATTTGGTTAACAACATTACATTATTAAATCAACTTGTTAATGATATCCAGTCTTCTATTGTCTCAATAGACCACGGAATCGATGATTTTGCAGCCGTGTTATGTGATATATTCAGTCCGTGTTCTAAGACTCTGTTCGTTCCGCGTTCCGGTTTTAAAAAGAAACGTCATCTTCATAAGCCCTGGTTTGACGATAAGTGTAGACGACTATATAATACTTATAGACGTAACCTTGCCTCCTTCAATACAGATAGATCTCCAAATAATAGACTATCACTTGTTGAGTCAAAACGTAGTTATAAACGTTATGTAAGACTAGCCAAACGTAGGTACCTCCGTTCGGAAGGGGACCGTATAAGTATGTTGCGCAGGAAAAATCCAAAATTATTTTATAACTATTTCAAGAGCAAATCTAGTTGTTGTCTCAGTGATCTGGATCTTTCAGACTTTTTTGAACACTTTAAAACTGTATGCGGCGGTATTGTTGATGACGAGATCTTTGATAACGTATCTGCAGACGCTAATGTACCTATTTATGACGAATTGGATAGTCCCATTCTACAAGATGAAATAAAGAATGTTTTAACTAACGCCAAGCTGGGCAAATCACCTGGTAACGATAACATGTTGAATGAATTTTTCGTTAAATTTAAAGAAGTTTTTATTCCAGTTCTTTCAAAATTATTCAATGCTATTCTCGATAAAGGGGAATTCCCATCAAGTTGGTCGAAAGGTATAATTTTTCCATTATTCAAAAAAGGCGACCCCAACGATACGAACAATTATAGAGGAATAACGTTGGTTAGTTGCTTGTCCAAATTATTTACAAGTGTTTTAAACAATAGATTACTAAAATGGTCGGAGCAATTTGATATTATCACTGATGCCCAATTCGGCTTTAAACCTGGTCATGGCACCAACGACGCCATATTTGTCTTGTATGGAATAATAAAAAAAGTGCTTGCTAAAAGACGCAAGCTCTACTGCAGTTTTGTTGACTATCGCAAGGCGTTTGATAGTGTGAATAGAAATAAGTTGTTTTTGAAGCTGTGTAAAAGTGGTATAAGAGGTAAATTTTTGAATATTTTGAAGTCCCTTTATGAAGGGTTAAGGTCATGTGTTAGATACAAATCTGAACTATCTGATTTTTTTGCATGCACGCAAGGCTTGATGCAGGGTGAGGGGTTATCTCCCTTCCTTTACTCTTTGTATGTAAACGATTTGGAGAATGAATTTATTAATACATCATGTGATGCACTTTTTCTAAGAGATATTTCTCTGTTTTTGTTGATGTATGCTGATGATACTGTTCTTTTCTCAGAGTCAGCTTCTGGGTTACAGAAGATGTTAGATACTTTGAAACTATATAGTGATAAATGGCAATTATCTGTCAACATAGAGAAAACAAAAATCGTTGTATTCCGAAATGGTGGTAGAGTTAGTTCAAATGACAAATTCTATTTTGAAAATAATGTAATAGAAATTGTTGATAGTTTTAATTATCTTGGTGTCACGCTATACTTTAATGGTAAGTTTACTAAAACTCAACTTAATATAGCTGAACAAGGACGTAAATGTATGTATAAGATTTTGAAAATATGCAATAACTTAGCTTTAAATGTTGAATCAAAACTTAATGTGTTTGATGTCTACGTATCGCCTGTCCTTAATTACAGCTGTGAAGTGTGGGGTTTTAGCTTGGCTGATCAGATAGAAAAATTACACATTGACTTTTTAAAAAGAATCTTGTATGTTAAAAAGAATACCCCTACGTTTATGTTATACTCTGAACTTGGTCGTTTACCTCTGCAAATTACCTGGAAACTAAGAATAATTAAATATTGGTTAAAATTAACCAAGACTAATAATTGTATTCTAAAGTCATTGTATGACGACATGATTGTTTGTAATCATAATAGCTGTAACTGGCGGTGCCAAGTTAAAAACTTACTAATGTCTACAGGTTTTGGTGATGTTTGGTTAAATCAAAATGTTGTTAACGAAAAAGTATTTTTACATAATTTCAAACAACGTCTCACTGACAACTTTCTTCAATCAATGAACGAGTTTGTGGAAAACTCTTCTAAATGTTATCTGTACAAATTCTTGCTTGACTCGTTTACCTTACAATATTATTTAACAAAATCAATTCCTGTCGTTTATCTTAGGCTTATTTCCAAGTTTCGAATGTCATCCCATCGTTTACGCATAGAAGAAGGCAGATATTGTAATACCCCAAGGGCCCATAGAATTTGTCTACATTGTAACCAAAATCAAATAGAAGATGAATTTCATTTCATTTTAATTTGTCCTCTATACGCAAC